GAGCTCTGGGGTCGGTGTGGCGGGGCGGGGGGAAGCGTTCCGTGTGTGTGTGGAGGGGGATCCTGGTGGGCAAGAGCCGTGGGGTTCCGCCGTTTCCCTCAGGAGGCTGAGGGGCGGAAACCGTCCCTCAGGGCATCCCTCGGAGTGGTGGGCTCCGGGGCGGTGCAGTGCCGTGCCGGGGGCCGGGCTGAAGCTGCGATGTGAGGGCTTCTGGGCGGCTGTGTGGGCTTGTAACGGGCGGGCTAGCTGGCAGATACGTTGCCGCTGACTCGGGTTGCATCTGCTGTGCCCGAAGAGCTGGGCATGTCTCGAGGGAAGGAGTGTGCCTTGGCGCCTGCCTGCGCTCCCGTCAGGGCAAGATCTTGCCAGAGATCGGGGCACGATGTTAACTTTCATCTCCTGCTCGCTGATCTTTCAGCCACGCAGTGTTCTGCTTTTTCATGTGATTCCTCTGACTCTCGGTATGAACAGCCTATAAACTTTCGTACAAATATCTTAGCATCTTGAAAAAAAAATCGTTAAAGCTCTCTGGGTTCTTTTGTTTCTTCATTTTATTTTTGGGCAACTTTTGACAATATCAGTGCTTCTCCTGTGTTGAGGTCGTGCTTTGTTGCAGTGACCATCATTGCCTAAGTGATGCATAGCTGTAGCTTGTTTGTGTCTTGGTAGTGCTGTGTCTTTTTGGTAAGTTTCGTTTTGCAATCTCTGGGAAGTAAAACTTTTGCAAGCTGGGAACATCTTTTTGTTACATGTTTGCAATCTAAAAGTAGCAGAGTAATATCCTGAGTCGTGACTATTGTGACCATACATTTGTTATAGGTGTATGTAATTCTAATGTAAGGTGACTTCCCAGCATAATTTTTAGCTTTGTTTTCTGTTATTGTATAAGTATTTTGGCAAATTTTTTACCCAGCTTTCTTTGCAAGTCCTGCTTGTGAAAAGTGAGAAATACTTTGGATGCAAATGAGTTTAGCATTCTTTGATTTCACCTTTTGGAAGTGGGTGGCAGTATAGCAAAGAGCTGAAGATGATCTCAGGCTTCTGGCAATGCAATTAGCCTTTTAAAGATGTCATCAGTATCCTCCCACATTACTCCTCGAGGTGGATTGGTATCGGTTTGTTTGCAAATAAGAATTTGTCATGGGTAATTAGAAGCTCTCTGATTTCAGGTCTGTTAGCTGGAATACATGACTGAAGTACTTGCCCTAAAGTAACAGTGTGAGGTAACCCTGCATTCTAGTTCAGTGTATTGGTGTCACACCCATCAAGTTTTAGTAAGTCTTTGGTGTCTTTAACTAGGAATCTTCTCAGGAACAAACTCATTTACTGTAGGGGAGCAATATGGGAAACTTCTAATGCATATGTATATTCATATTGGTGTTGAGATTTGTTGGGACGCTTCCTGGACAAGATTTAATCATGATTATTTTTGTCTTTGAACTAACAGTGAGATTCTTCACCTGCTCTACATGTGAAGTTCAGTAACTTTGTCTCTGCTTCTCAGGATGGTGCATTTAAGACTGTTTTCTTAATCATTAGTGTTTTCTTATTAGCCTAAAACTCGGGAGTTACTGTAGTAATGCGATGGAACTACTTTTTGTACAATTTAGGTTGTTTGAGGTCTTTTGTTACCATACATGAATGTTTGTCTCAATAAAATACTTTTTTCGTAGTTGAATGTTATAGTTTGTGCAGTGACAGAGCAGCTGTCTCTGCAAATGGGGAGTCTAATTAGAGTGGGAAGCCTCATAGGTCTGTGTTTTTCTGTGAAACCTAAAACACTTGCAGAACTAAATAATTTAGATAGAATAAATGCAGCTGATGAAAAATTTAAATGTGCTTCACCTGGAAAGTAATGCTTTGTACAGACTGAGTTTTCTGACAAATAATGATTCAAACATTAGAGTTCTTGAATAATCCTGTGTATGAATAACTGTTTGACTCATGGGCACGTAGTTCCATGTTGCTTAGGCTAAATATGGCCTTTCCTTAGCTAGATGGTCAAATACCATGATTTGCATATCTTAGGCATTTAAAAAGGAAAAATTCCTAAAAGATGCAATAGTACCAGCTATCTCACCAGTAGAGGAGAGTGAAACATTTTGTTTCAACAAAAAGTCTGGGGCAGTACATTTTTTGTGAATTTGAAGGCTGAAAGTGTTTATTATTCACATTTCTAAGAAACAAGAGATTCCTGTCCTAATATCAGGGAGAAGTAAAGCCTGAGATGCTGATAAGTATACATTTTTTTTCCCAGTAGATTATTTGCCTTCTGAAAAGGCTAGAAGTATCTTTTATTTCAGAAAATGAAAATGTGGAGGTTTTGTCTCTGGTATATCATGTTTGCTTGATGTATCATGTGACTTAAGGGTGGCTTGTAGAGTTGCTTTTATCTAAGCTTTATTGTGTTGTTTGTATCTGATTACCAAATGAAACTCAATGCAGATTCTAGAAAAATTTGGTCTTCCTTTGTAGACCAACAGCGTTTAACAGTAAAAGTGTTTGAAGGTTTTTTTGACATGAATAGGCTCTGCTGATGAAAACTTTTTTTTCCTTTTAATTCACACAGAAGTTCGACCTAAAGCTTCTTAAGAAAATTTCTTATCACTGTAAATGCAGCATTAGACGAGTGTGACTTTTACTTCCTTTGTTGACAGCTGTAATGCAATTAAGGATAAAATTCAGAAAACTACAAAAGATGGTAGAATATTCTCCAAGGTTCTTTCGGCTTACGTTCTTTGCCATTAACACTCTCAGTCATTTTGCCTTCATTCCTTGTTTTCTCAACAGGGCCACATTTTCATTTCCTCTGAATCATACTCAAGCATATATCTGTAACTCTGACATCACACTTTTTGTAAGGTAATGACATGCTATAGCCCTTTAAAGTCACTGGAAGCCTGATAAGGTATCCTTGTCTTGAGGTTAAATGGCGCATCTGAGTCATTAAGAGGAAGTAGAGGTCTGCTTCTTGGGTGATTTGAGAGTGTAGATTGGGATCAGGGTCTCAAGGGCCACAGGGAGTAGAGAGAAAGTAACTGAGAAGGAACTGCCCATAACGAAGGTAATTTCTTTGACTTTTTCCTGTATTATATTGCGTTACTTGTGTTGCAGTCCAGCTTCTCCTTTGTTAGGTGATCTGTGGCAGTAATTGCTTCTGCCAGGGTTGGTTACAAAGTGTAGTAGCAAATGTGTTGTAAATATGTGTGCTTCATTCAGAACTACTGCTTTTGCAGTAGAAAAAGCCAAGAGCTTTTAGCTAAAAAACCCCATGTATCTAAAATTGCTTAGTCTTACAGAATTCTTGATGACCAAGAAAAATATTGAGGTGTTACTAGGTTGCTAGTAAATTTTCAGGTAGTCACAAATGCCTTGAATACTGGAAAAAAATTAAAATTAATTACTAGTTAATTGCACTCGACTAACAGCAACTGTATGCCCTTATGGCATGAGGTAAGGCAAGAGTTGAGACCTGTGCCTTAGCTGTAACACACAGTTAATTGTGGAAATTTTAAGGTGTCTCTGTAGCCTGTTATCTTTGGGAAATTCCTGATCAAAGATCAGTAACAGCTGAATATTTTGAAATTGCTATATGTTTTCAATTTGATCAGACAGAAGGGTCTCTTTGGGATGTTCATTGTTGATTCTGGCATTCAAGAATATTAGAGGTTTCTACTTTTGTGTTGAAAATTACTTTGTGAACAATGGGAGAAGCTTGAATCTTTCCATTTGAGGAATGCAATACTGGAAACGTACATGAAAATGTGAAGAGCTGCAATATTATAAAGTTCATCCTCAACAATTTTGCTGTAATGGTAGCTTTCCCTTTTTAGCTTCACTATGATTCATTGACTAAATATGTGGCTTCAAATTATGGCCTTATTTAAACTAAACAGATACCCTGTGCTGATTGGGGCAAAATTCTCTTCTAGAATTTTATTGCGTTATTAAGTGGAC